TTTCTCTTTTACTCGTGCCCGTATTCTCTCTTCTTCTCGTGTATTCTGTCTTTTGCTCAGTCTTACTCAGTAGCTACTTCTCTTGATGGTATTCTTTCTCACTCCCTCTTCTCTCCACCCCCCTCTCTCTCTCTCTCTCTCTCTCTCTCTCTCTCTCTCTCTCTCTCTATCTCTCTCTTTAAAAAAATCCCTTTTAGTTTTTCTCTCATTTAGCTTTCTCGATTTCTATGTTACTGCCCGCACTCACAGTCCTGCTCTCTCATTTTCTTCAGGTTACATTCAAAGCGTCATCTACTGGAAAGCAGCTGTCCCCATACTGTTTTGTTGGTTTTGTGAACCCCTTATCTTATTGCGAAGGACGAGCGCGCAGCCTATAAGAAACATATTATCTTATATGTGTGTGCACTAGATTATCTCTCCTCCTAAATAAACCCAGACTGTACATTGAATCCCACATGATAGAATTATCTATATCACATTATCTCTACAACTAGAAGAGCACGGAATAATCGAATCAAATTATTCTTATAATTTAAGATTAAATATATATATTTTTTTTAAATTTAGAATTTAATCAACGGTATGAATTAACTTTTATTGGATAACTTTTTAAAACAAAGTAAAAGATAACGAGAAATAAAAGGTTACTTTGCCTGGAATCGAATACGCCATTTGCGAGGAAGGTGGCACCACAACATCTCTTTACACTTTCGTTGCATAAATTTAACATTTTATGACACGGCTTTTATTAAATTGCTTGAAGACAAGTTTGTAGGATATCAGATTTATTAAATGCTTGAAGACAAGTTTGTAAGATATCAGATTTATTAAATTGCTTGAAGACAAGTTTGTAAGATATCAGATTTATTAAATTTCTTAAAGACAAATTTGTAAGATATCAGATTTATTAAATTACTTGCAGACAAGTTTGTAAGATATCAAATTTATTAAATGCTCGAAGACAAGTTTGCAAGAATTCAGATTTATTAAATTGCTTGAAGACAAGTTTGTAAGATATCAGATTTATTAAATTGCCAAACCAGAAATATTTGTGATAAAATAAGAGAAAGATCACTTCTCTATTCAGCATCATTTCCCTTAGTGAACACTTAATCAAATGTATTGACATTTTTATTATTATTATCGGTTGCCCCATTTTTTTTTCTATTGGAAATAAAGGGGGTGGGGCATTTGCCAATTCAGAGTACTTTTTGTGGCGGGTGGGGGAGGAACATTTTTTGGCCTTCCCCTGGTGGTACTAACCCAGGCTACGCCCCTGATTGCCGAAGGTATTTAAGCGAAAATCGAAGTAGCCATTGAGAAGATATTAAAGTAGTATTTGAGAAGATTTTAAAGTTGAATTTAGGGAGTATCTTGCCACCAACAATCTGTGATCAATAACCTTATATTAAACGTGCTTCATCATTACGTTTGAACGTGGACGTGGGCAGCAAGAGATCAGTCAACGAGACTAATTCTAAACGGACTTCTGGACAACAGAAACTAAATCCCACTCACGTACCAAAGCGTCACTTTATGTACGGTTAAGTATATAGAAATACGGTTTGAAGGGAACCTAATGGGGACCTCGTATTCTCGGAAAGTTTTCATGCAGCTCTTGACTCTTGGTTTTGTCGGGTTACACACTGAAGTTACATCAAACAAAGTCAACGTATGTGATGTCATTATCAAGTTTATTGTCAATTACACAAACGGAAATAACACACGTTTCATTAGTTGAATCAAATATATAATTCATATAGGCGTGTAAGGAAAGGAAAAAAACAATTGGTGGTGGGGGTGGGAGGTGGGTTTGGTGATGGGGATTTTTGGTTTCGAGGAGTCTGCATTATTTGAAATTATAGTTTCTAATTCGTACTTTGGGGTTTTCAAAACAAATGCTTCAAGTACGCCAGCATCACTGCCTTATTTTATAGATATGGGGAAGAGAGGCTGTAAACCACATTTTAAGACAAGTGATGTGAACATTTGAATTGAGAAAAGAAAGTTGGAAAGGCCCGATCTTACGAAAACATCCTTCAGCATATAAATATGAAGGGGAACATTTCAAAGAAATAATAATAACAAGAGGATTTTTTTAAATAGTAAAAATATAGTTCATCAGATAAAGCCCGCCAAACATTGGCGACAGCAATGCGTGAACTTCCCATCTACTAAAATTACTTAAAAAAACATGAACTCAGTTAACGCACATTTAAGAATCCCGATTTTTGCTAACCCCCCCCCCCCCCCCCCTACGTCACTACACACTTTTTATTTCACGCCCATGAACTAAATTAAATATTCTGATGTTACAACCACTTTTAAACCTAATATTTTTTACACCATAGTTAAATTGAGACGATTACATTTTCTGAAAAGAAAACATTAAGCACCAAACGCAGTTGCGTTATTAAATTAAAAAAAAACAACATTTAGCTTAGTTATCGGAAATTATATTTTGCGCACTAGTGAACTCATTATCGAAACTTACTTTCTTTCAAACATGTATAATTATTTGTAATATACTCTCAATACCAAATTCGCTAATTAGGAAGCAAGCGGAAATGGAAGCAGTCCATTAGAAAGCAGTCAACGAGTCACACCAGAAGCGTAATATATATACGAGATAAGGAGATACTTGACGGTGGAGAGATGAAAACAATAGTGTACAAGCCAAGTTCATGCATGCTTTCAACTTTTTGTACATAAATACACGATAATGCAATATAGGGTTGGGACACTATATACTTTTTTAGTGATTTCAAGAGCTTTTTGATCATAGAAATCTTATGCAGCCGACAGAGGGTTTATATTAATAAACAACAACCTCTTATCTTCTAGTCTCATTGTGACGTGTTCTTACTTTATCTTATAACACACACGCACGCAAATGTACATACGCACATATACACTCACACACAGACACATTCACTCACACACACAGACACTAAACAACAGATTCCCTCACACATGCGTTCTTGAGTGTCTTGGTAAACACGGCATGAATCTGACTATAACAGTCACGAACAAAGAGATACAAGTGTAGTAACAGAATCTACACAGCTAGAACTAGTGCACTTTTTAGTACCGATGAAGCTAGGTTTAGTTAGAGAGATTTTTTATAAATTTTGTTTGAGGACATGGGTAAGAAACTTTGTAGGGAGAATCTTCAAATAAATGCTGTTGAATAGCACTGGTAAGGGAGAATGTATTTAGAATCTTTACATAAATGTTGTTGAATGAGAAAAGATAAGATTCTTTTATTGATCCAAATAAATGGAAAGGTTTTTTTGATTGCATTATACATTTTCAGCACAAAAATAGAACAATTTGAACACAAAACATTTATAATAAATTATTTCAAACAGCCATTCATTGAGTTCTCTTAGAAAAATCGGGGACTTATTAGTTCTCATTCAGATGTGTGACTTCAGAGGAAGCATGCCGGTAAATTCGTACAGATTGGGGAACAAAAGCATTTTTATATCTGTCAGTCCTCGCCCTGTTGGAAAGAATTCGTCCCGAATGGCCCGACCCTAAGTATCTGTGATGAAGAGGGTGGGATGTATCATCAAAAATGTATTTAGTTTTACAAAAACATCTTTCTTCAAATAGCTCTTCAAGTGAAGGATGTTTAGTTTTTGTTATGTTCCTAGCTTTCTTGATTAGTCGGTTTATGCGGTGTTTAATATCAGGCGTTGAATTCCCACACCAGCACGTAATACTGCAATTAAGCAGGCTTCCAATAGTTGCACTATAGAATAAGTTAACGACTTGCTTGTTTACGCCGAAATTGTACAGTTTTTTGAGGTAGAACAGTCTTTGGTTGAATTTTTTATACAGCATTTGGCCGTGCTCATGCCATGTTAGCTTATAATTAATGGTGGCCCAAGTACTTGTATGACTCCACTTTCTCCACATTTCGATTTTTTATGTTGAGATCTGCAATCTGGTGTTTCCCTCTCCTAAAATCAAGAACCATTTCTTTTGTTTTTGAGACATTCAACTGGAGAAAATTTTTATCGCACCAATTGATAAAGCTTGTAACTAAGTTGCGGTATAGGCCTTCTCCCTCAGATATGATATAAAGCCAACAATGGTGGTATCATCAGCAAATTTTAAGATTGGAACGGTTTCGCTTGAGATTTGAATATCATTTGTATATATTGTATACAGTACTGGAGAGAGAGAACGCAGCCTTCTGGTGCCCCGAAGCTTATTTCTCTGGTTAGAGATACTTGGTTATTTACTTTGACATATTGTGGTCGATTTGTTAAAAAGTTCAGTATCCAAGCCTACATATTTAAATTGACACCTAACGAGGAAATCTTCTTTATCATGTATGTAGTAAGAATCTTCACATAAATTTGATCATCCATTCATACGTATGTTATAGAACAATTTCCTGATGGTACTTTGATGATTGGATAACGCAAGAATGTTGGGAACCATTGGTAGGAAGCAATAATTTAAAGCACTTTTTAGAAAGTACTGCTGTCAACCAATTTTGAGGCGTTCCGGTACAGTTGTTAGGCAGCTTTGTCGAGTACTGTTGTAAAGTACTACGAGGAGTACTGTTGCCTAGCATTGTTGAGGAGTATTGTTGCAAAGCAATGTTGAAGGGTACTGTTGTAAAAACTGCCAAGGAGGACTATTGTAAAGCAATATGAGGAGTGCTTTTTTATAGCAATGTTGAGGAGTACTGTTGTAAAGCAACGCCTAAAAGTTTTTGATATTCTTTAGTAGACATACGACGAGAACCATCTCATAAGGAACTTTTTTCTTTATAAGAAAGGGCATCATTTTCAGCCCACTGCATAGGTTTTTTTTCCGTGGAATTGAGGGTGGCAGAAATCTTGATCCGTTCGGGGCACACCAACCCCAGACACGCCCCTGAGTTTATGTAAAAATAATGAAAACGCTTTATATCCTATTCACGTATTTTCGCTGATATTCTCCAACTGACCAGACCTTCGTATTTTCCTGAACAGAAGTAGGAGCAGATTCAGACCGAACTCGCCCAGCTCTACCGCGGTGAGTATGGAGAAGCCCAGCCAAAGTCCAAGCTGGCCGCCCACATCACTGAGGACCTTGTTCCAGTCATACGATGGTATCGTCCTTTTGACTTCATACTCCATTGACTCGTAGTGGATCTCCAACCTCATGAAATGCTTGCGAACGTAATCCTCACTGGCACCGTGGGGAGGAAAAGTCTGGTTTCTCCTGTGATAAGACATGTTGACCTTTCGCAGGAAGTGGCGAAGGTAACCTTCGGCTGGCCACACGGCCTGCGACAAAAATTTATCGTACTTCACGCTGTCGCACGAAGGAGGACATTTGTCCGCACACCCAAATCCATCGACCTGGTTGTCTTTCTCCGTGTCCCGGAGGCATTTCCCGTGTAGTTTGGTGTCACATTCAGGGACAGTTAGATTTCCATATTTCCTGGTCGCTTCAGCCGATCCCAGAAGAGTGCCGACCCCCCCAGGAATGTTGTCGTCGGTGCAGTTACAAGAATTCAAGAGTGCAACTTGGAAGCAAGTTCTTCTGCACTCGTGGTTGGTGTACGCATAGCCCCAGTGTGCGTACATATTTTTCTTACGGCTTTCCTCACTGTTTCCGTCGACACAAATACCGTAAGGAGGCGGCAGAAGGTAGGTCTCAACCTATCAACGGTGCAGTTTTCATAGAGAAGAAAAGAAAACATCATTACATTTTTAGAGATAGCGTGTATTGAAAAACTTTTTTGGGGGAAAAATACTTCAGGATAATTTTTATACATTTCCAACAGACTAATAACCCACTGGAAGTAAACTATGACTAGTAGAAAAAACAACAACAAATAAATACGCAACAAGCAATGAACAAGAAACTAAGAGGCAACTAACAAGCAATAAACAAGCAAACTAACTAAACAAAAAGTCCAGACTCCCAAGACTGACCCTCTTAATTCCAATGCTGGTGGAGTACCCTGGTCCCGCCACCACTCCACTATCAGGAGGGAAGACATACCCCGAGTTGTTGTGGATCAATATCTTGACACCCACCGAGGGAGTCAGACTGAGATAATGACGTCGTCCGATCTCAAGCTCCAACACTAAACCGTTGGCGGGACCGATCTTCTTGGTATGCCTTCATCGAAGAACAAAGATCAATCAATCAATCAATCAATCAATCAATCAATCAATCAATCAGTCAAACACGCGATATCCAAAGAAAACAAAAACATTGTCGAGCTGCCCCGTCTATAAAGTAATGGCAGTAAAGTCATTGGCGTAGCTAGGGGGTGCGGAGGGGGGGTGTGAGGACCATGAGTTTACCGCATCGGGCTACACCAACCCTAGCTACGCCACTGAGTGAAGTTACGATCTACCTGGGTGATTTTTTCAGTTAATGGAAGCTGGCAGAAGTAATAACTCTGTGAATGAACTAGTAACAAAAAAAGTAACATGGTATTACCTATATATTCTACTAACCTATTCCAAAACAATTTATGATACATGTTCAACGATATCAGAGGCGTAGCGTGGGTGTTTGGCGCCCGGGGACAAGATTCGCGCCCGGGGGCAAGATCAATTTTAAAGTGCCCCCTTTTCTTTTTTAAACTCTCAAACCCATTATTTTTATCAATAATACAAAGCACATTTTGGCGCCCCTAACTAGCTGGCGCACAGGGACATCTGCCCTCCCTGCCCCTGCCCTCGCTACGCCTCTGACTGATATAGTTAAGTGGGTAACAATTGATCAAGTGCCTGAAAGTTAAGGGATAAAATCAATAAAAGTGTACATTTTTATCATCGATAAATAAAACACAAAATCATTACCTTTTTCTTTTATCATGTATCGTATCTCCAAAAGTGTAGCAGTTTCCACTTTTGTGAAAATTTCTCATGTGAAAATCTTTGCTGCTACATTCTCGCTGTTGATTTTTTTTTTTTTAATTAAAAAAAGTTAATATAATGCAGTTTCTGTCTTAAGAGAGAAAAAAAAAGAAGTTTGTCGACTGTAACTACTTTAATTAACACATCTGTTGTCGACTGTAACTACTTTATTAACACATCTTTTGTCGACTGTAACTACTTTATTAACACATCTTTTGTCGACTGTAACTACTTTATTAACAGATCTTTTGTCGACTGTAACTACTTTATTAACACATCTTTTGTCGACTGTAACTACTTTATTAACACATCTTTTGTCGACTGTAACTACTTTATTAACACATCTTTTGTCGACTGTAACTACTTTATTAACACATCTTTTTTCGACTGTAACTACTTTATTAACACATCTTTTGTCGACTGTAACTACTTTATTAACACATCTTTTGTCGACTGTAACTACTTTATTAACACATCTTTTTTCGACTGTAACTACTTTATTAACACATCTTTTGTCGACTGTAACTACTTTATTAACACATCTTTTGTCGACTGTAACTACTTTATTAACACATCTTTTGTCGACTTTAACTACTTTATTAACACATCTTTTGTCGACTGTAACTACTTTATTAACACATCTTTTGTCGACTGTAACTACTTTATCAACACATCTTTTGTCGACTTTAACTACTTTATTAACACATCTTTTTCGGCTATCAAATATTTGTATCGTGTTCCAAATCATTTTTATTATACAAGTGCAATCTGCACAAGTTTTAATATTTTTCTAAATTCTATAAATTTACCAAATTCTACATTAACTTACATAGTTTAATACCTTATACATCTTCCTAATTTTAACTGATTTTTAAATTTATTTAAAATATAAATTAAAAACAACACTTTTTTAATCACGAGAGAAATTTCTTACCAGTTCATTTATTATGCAGTCACTTAACATATCTTACCAGGTCAAATGCACAGTCTAACGTCTGGAAATGTACAGGCATAATGAATTACCATGTCAAATTTAAAGACTATCAACGCCACTTACCAGATCGAATGTACAGTCTATCAACATGTCCTCGATCAGATGCCCCATTTCAGACCGTGACTCCTCGCTGTAGTCTCGTGACAGAATATCGAGTTCAGAACGTTGATGTTTTGCTCTTTTCTGGTAGATCAAAATGTTATAGTAATAGATCAAGTTTCACCACCTGTCCAGTGTTTCTGTTTACTATAGATTAATAGATCAAGTTTCACCACCTGTCCAGTGTTTCTGTTTACTATAGATTAATGGATAAAGTTTCACCACCTGTCCAGTGTTTCTGTTTACTATAGATTAATGGATAAAGTTTCACCACCTGTCCAGTGTTTCTGTTTACTATAGATTAATAGATCAAGTTTCACCACCTGTCCAGTGTTTCTGTTTACTATAGATTAATAGATCAAGTTTCACCACCTGTCCAGTGTTTCTGTTTACTATAGATTAATGGATAAAGTTTCACCACCTGTCCAGTGTTTCTGTTTACTATAGATTAATGGATAAAGTTTCACTACCTGTTCAGTGTTTCTGTTTACTATAGATTAATGGATAAAGTTTCACCACCTGTCCAGTGTTTCTGTTTACTATAGATTAATGGATTAAGTTTCACCACCTGTCCAGTGTTTCTGTTTACTATAGATTAATATATCAAGTTTCACCACCTGTCCAGTGTTTCTGTTTACTATAGATTAATGGATAAAGTTTCACCACCTGTCCAGTGTTTCTGTTTACTATAGATTAATGGATAAAGTTTCACCACCTGTCCATTGCTTCTGTTTACTATAGATTAATGGATAAAGTTTCACCACCTGTCCAGTGTTTCTGTTTACTATAGATTAATGGATAAAGTTTCACCACCTGTCCATTGCTTCTGTTTACTATAGATTAATAGATCAAGTTTCACCACCTGTCCATTGCTTCTGTTTACTATAGATTAATGGATCAAGTTTCACCACCTGTCCAGTGCTTCTGTTTACTATAGATTAATAGATCAAGTTTCATCACCTGTCCAGTGTTTCTGTTTACTATAGATTAATAGATCAAGTTTCACCACCTGTCCAGTGTTTCTGTTTACTATAGATTAATATATCAAGTTTCACCACCTGTCCAGTGTTTTTGTTTACTATAGATTAATACATCAAGTTTCACCACCTGTCCAGTGTTTCTGTTTACTATAGATTAATAGATCAAGTTTCACCACCTGTCCAGTGTTTCTGTTTACTATAGATTAATAGATCAAGTTTCACCACCTGTCCAGTGTTTTTGTTTACTATAGATTAATATATCAAGTTTCACCACCTGTCCAGTGTTTCTGTTTACAATAGATCAGGGGTCGGGAACCTATGGCTCGCGAGCCAGATGTGGCTCTATTGATGGCTGCAACTGGCTCGCAGACAAATGTTCGATTATAAAGACAAGGCGCATTAATGGTAACAAAATACTCATTATTGACTGGCAACAGCATAACAATGTTATTAAAAAGACTTCAGAGACATAATTATTGCATTTTTAGTGTTGAAATTACACAAAATGCACATATTTACTTGAATTTTTAGTTTTAAACATAATGTATGGCTCTCACAGAAATTCTTTTCAAAATATGTGGTGTCCATGGCTCTCTCAGACAAAAAGGTTCCCGATCCCTACTAGAGATTAATATAACAAGTGTCGCCATCTGTCCAGTGCTTCTCTTTACTAGAGATCAATAGATCAAGTGTAACCATGTGTCCACTGTGTCTGTTTACTACAGATTAATGGATCAAGTTTCACCATCTGTCCAGTGTTTCCGTTTACTATGGATTAATGATCAAGTTTTACCATCTGTCCAGTGTTTCTGTTTACTATAGATTAATAGATCACGTGTCACCATCTGTCCACTTTGTCTGTTTACTATAGATTAATAGATCAAGTGTCACCATGTGTCCAGTGTTTATGTCTACTATAGATTAATAGTTCAAGTGTCACCATCAGTCCAGTGTTTCTGTTTACTATAGATTAACAGATCAAGTTTCACCATCTGCCCAGTGTTTCTTTCAGGCATCTCTTCGGGAGAAAAATGTGTGCAACAAAACGAATCAATAATTATTTTTATACTTTAAAAAAAAGAATAGTAACTGGTGCCTTTAACCGATTGCAATTAGAGGAACCAATCAAACAGTATTTCTTACTGACAATTTGCGCCGGAGGGTGGGGGGAGCATATCAGATGTTCGGTTTGGCAGTGCCAGGGGCGTAGGAAGGGCGGGTGGGAAAGCCGTTCCACGCCAGGGAGCGCCTTTTTTCATTTTATAGAGGGGGGGGGGTGCATTTTCAGCCTTCTGCAGAGTTTTTATCATGGTGGCGAAAATTTGAAGGCTATTGGGATGGGGTTATTTGAACCCTTCCCCAGAAAATTTAAGATACATTAAAATTGCCGTGATTCATTTAGGCGCACACCTGAATTTAGTTTTGCATCAATCTAAATTTAATTGGGGGGAGGGGAGCAGCATAATTTAATTGTCTCTTGATCTCTTTATTTCAAATAAATACTATAGTTAAAGTTGTTAATAAATATGTTTGCTGAGGGTTATTATTTCGTCTTTAAACTATTTATTTCCTTCAAATCCTCCATCATTAAATGAATTTAACAAGTTTTATTTCCATGAAAAAAGGTGGCCGTCATAAAGAGCAGGTATACTAATTATATTGTTAACTACTTACAATGTATTAGTTGAACAAAAAGATAACAATAATGTTATGTAGAAAGGGTCTGAATGACAACTTTTGTAAATTGCTTATAAAATGGCAAAAATCTAATCCAAGCTAATCCATTAATTATATCAAAACATTTTTAGGAAATTTCAACGACCCCCCCCCCTTGTCACCAACTGTCAAACTTTCAAGGATCCCCCCCCCGGCCTAGTTAATTATGTCAACAATTCTTAGCACCCCCCTCCCCTAGAAAAAAAAACAATAACAAATAAATAAAAATGGATTTTTATTAAAGTCGGGGAACAACATATTTATTACTTGTTTTCAAATTTCTTAAAGAAATTTTAAAAATTTGTAACAAGTAGAATCTATTATTAGAGTCAATTTTATATTGCAGAATTAGATTAAAGAATTGATCATCTCTAAATTCTATTGTTAGTAAATTTATTGCTATTTTATTTCATCTTTGGAGAGATTTTACCATCACCTAGATAGCCCTAAAATATGCCAGAGTGCTTTTCTTAGACTTCTCATCAGCATTTAACACTATCCAACCACATCTTATGATAAAGAAACTTTCCTCGTTAGGTGTAAATTTAAATATTCAAATTTGGATACTAAACTTTTTAACAAATCGCTCAAAATATTTCAAGCTAAATGACCAACTATCTCTAACCAGAGAAATAAGCATCGGGGCGCGCAATGCTACGTTCTCTCCCCGCAGTGGCGTAGCGAGGGTGTTTGGCACCCGGGGACAAGATTCGCGCCCGGGGACAAGATCCATTTTTAGCGCCCCTTTTTCTTTTTTTCAACTCTAAAACCCATTATTTTCATCAATAAAATAATATCAAAGCACATTTTGGCGCCCCTAACTAGCTGGCGCCCGGGGACATCTGCCCCCCCTGCCCCCACCACGCTACGCCTCTGCTCCCCTGTACTGTATGAAATACATACCAATGATATTCAGAGCTCAAGTGACACGGTTCCAATCATAAAATTTGCCGATGATATCACCATCGTTAATATCTGAGGGAGAAGGCTCATACCGCGACTTATTTACAAGCTTTATCAATTGGTGCGATACAAATTTTCTCCAGATGAATGCTCCTCTAAAACAAAGGAAATGGTTCTTGATTTCAGGAGGGGAAAACACCAGATTACAGATCTCAACATATAAGTACTTAGGTGTCACCATTAATAATGAGTTAACATGGCATGAGCACGGCCAAATACTGTATAAGAAATTCAACCAGAGACTGTTCTACCTAAAAAAAAAACTGTACAATTTCGGCGT